ACTGAACTGGACTGAGGGGTTGGCATTGGTTATAAGCTCATGAGAAATACAAGCCACGGATGATAGGACAGGGCATCGTACGGTCGGATGGGGGGTTGGGGGTATTGAAAACTGTGGGGATCACCAGTTGCAAAATGTCCCTTTAGTTATTGCCGTTTCCACAGGATTACCCGCCCACGTCTATGACATCATCACATGGTGAGGACAGAGCAGAAAAACGTACTCATCCTCCTTATCATCCAACTTCAACAAATGTCCATTCATGGCAATTACATTAAAGGAAAAATCCACCCAAAACCATTAATTCCATTCATTTACAGTGTTAAATAACACTAATATGTGAGAACAATATTTTTTTATGAACACATTTTTCATTTTGGCATTATAATAATGTTGGTAGCAACATGGAAAATCGTTGTGGAAATTTGTTGCAGCTCAAGTCAACTACAAAATCCACAATGCAATGCTCTCTCTATGGGCTGGCTGGCTAGCTAGCTAAGTAGCTACACTCTTAGAAAATAAAAGGTGCTATCTAGAACCTAAAAGGGTCCTTCGGCTGTCCTCATAGGATAACCCTTTGAATAACTATTTTTGGTTCCGGGTAGAACCCTTTTGGTTCCAAATAGAACCCTTTTGGGTTCCATGTAGAACCCTTTCCACAGAGGGCTCTACATGGAACCCAAAAGGGTTCCACCTGGAACCAAAAAGGGTTGTACCTAGAACCAAAAATGGTTCTCCTATGGAGACAGCTGAAGAACCCTTTTTTCTAAGAGTGTAGCTAGCAAATACCAAAGATAATATCAGCATGTAAAGTAGCCAGTTAGCTGTAAAATCGCCTAAACAAACTGCACTATGAATTTAGGAGTCTACAATCTCACCGTGTTCAACCTGCAGATCGATGTGCCTCACAGAGTGGAGTCAAACAGGAGATGTGAAACTTTGACCATGCTACGTCCATGGGCAGCGCGGTGCATTCTGGGCAATTCTGGGACAAGGAGCACTCTCTTTCAAGGAGTGAATGGGAGTCTATTGGGCGCTAGCTCAAAAACCCCAACATTAGCATGGATTTTGTCAACAAGAAGTATAACATTACAAATCTTTTCCGAGATGTCAGATAATTAACTTGCTATCTGTAGTATCGTATAGCTTTGGAATCGTGACATTACGTACTTTCGAGGAAAATAGGAAAGTTTCTCGACATATACACTGATTTTGAGACGGAATTGAGTGACGACTAGCTTAGCAACGTGAACGCGATTGGTCGACAGTCTGCTGGGTGGGGCGTTATACGTTCCTTCATTCACTGGCTTCCTATCTCCTTTCTATAATATCTCTGGAAACGGCATCCTGCAATGCACCCTGGACTAAAGAGGCAGACTGATAGGAAGAATGTGCTAGACCCTCCGTTAAATTACAAATTTCTCGAGGTAGGAATATCGCAGAAATATTATCAATGGCTCATTCAAGAGAAGACATCCTCTCGAGTTATGACATCGGTCAGTATTGAAATCTGACATGTATGATAAGACATCTTCGCGATCTAAAAGTCGTATTCCTATTAACTCCCAGTGTAGTGAGAGCGACTTTATCACGGTGCTACGTCATACCATCCGGATTTCTGCCTGGTTGAATGGCCATAACTCAGATACACATGAAAACAAGAAATGACCCAGGGAATCGATAAAACATCACTCAGAGATGCACCAAAACAATATAACGTTCAAAATGGGTGAACCTTTCCTTTAACGTTCCCAAATATGGTTACTGTTTGTAATAGACAAATACATCTTCTTGGTATCAAAATACTATCCATGGTGCAAATGTAATGTCAATGTATGTCAGTACAGCTCATGCTATACATCCTCTGGTGAACACTATATCAGGGTTGGGGTCAATTCTTCAATTCCAGTCAATTCACAAAGTACACCGAAATGCCAATTCTGTTTAATGCTTTTAAATGACAATATTTAGAATAGGAATTTGGTTTACTTTTTTAAATTGACTGGAATTGAAATGGAATTGACCCCAACCCGGCTTTGTATAATATGCACAATAATACATGATGCATGTGCACTGACCATCTGGCCAACAAAATATATACTTTGTCTCTCAACAATATATACGAATAGTGTTTGGAACTTTGATGGCAGAAAAGTAGTTGTGAACACCTTGTAGATTAAATACATCAAAAGGGTTTAAACCACATTATTATGTACGACATTACTCAGTAATCTGCCATAAGGCAACATTTTGCCCAAGACTCGAGAAAGCGCTTTTCAGGGATTGCAATGACTATTGTATTGCAGGCCTCTTATGAAAGAAAATAAGTTAATACATGTTAAAACAGTCACATACACAACCACACCACACAGACATACATCAAGTACAACATCAACACTCAAGTCCTATGCACCATACGCAGTAACTCTGTCAAACACAGTTTCACTTACAAACAGAAACATACAGTATAGATCATATCGCTCTGACAGCAGGGTAGAGTCATCTGAAATAATTCATATTTGCTTCCTGAACTAGAACTAGAAAAGATTCCAATGAGTGTAATAACTTACTAATGAACTACAAATTCAGTTGATCTGGGGAATTTGATCATTCATAATATTTACTGATTATAGTTTGTTTTAAGTATTTTCTTTAATCAAAGAGTTCTGAGAGAGCTAGTATGGGATAGGTATACATTAGATTTGTCAAACAGAAAAGTTCCCAGACTATCTGGAAGCCCCAGGAATTCATTTAAGAATATAATAGAAATTCAAGTACAAACTGACAGTATATATATAAAAAAAATGTCATCAGGCATCTCTTCAATACAAAATCCACAATCATCTTTTCCTCAATGCATTTTCACAACTAACGCTGGCTGCTACTGTCCCTTATTTAATATTCAATACACTGGCGCCATCTGGTGGGATGACTTGGTACTGAAGGTAAGTGGCGTCGATTATATAACTAATGAAAAACAACACAGCAATAGCATTCATTGGTAAACACTCTTAGATCACTCAATTAGGTCACACTGGACATTAATATTTGGCCAAACTGAAGCAAACCTTGTTAATTTTTGGGGGGGTTTGGGGATTTTAAAGTCAGTTTCTTCAGCTCGTGCCATTGTGCAAAAATAATGGTTCTGACATTAAAACAATTCATGCTTTCTCAGCAATAATAACAATCAAAAAAGTAAGCAATCCATAATAAATAAAGCTAACATGTGAGAACAAAGTCCTTTGGCATAAAAAAAATAACCCTTAGATTCCACCGAGGGCCTGTTGCGGTATTCACCCCTAGTTACTAGGTGGCAGAAGAACCCTTTATTGGTCTAATGTAATTTACTGACCAATTAAAGTGACTGGTGGGGATGGTATGTTATCAGCTCTTTGATTAAAAGTTAATTAAATTGTCAGTACAATATGCAAAGTAAAACTTAAAGAGAACACATAAACAAGTCAAACTTAGTTAAACAGAACACATTAACAAGTCAAACAGAACACATTAACAATACACACTGGCTTGGCAAGACCTAACAGAGAGGCAGGGAGCCATAGACAATGGCCGTCTTAGCAGCAGAATCTGTCTGACTGACCACAAGGGCTCTGGTCAAAAGTAGTGCACTACACAGGGTGCGGTTTAGGATGCAGGCTGAGTCTCTGACCTTCTATAGAAATGGCTCTCTACGGAGTGGGATTTATAGGAGTCCAGACATTGTTATCACAATGCCAAGTAGCGGCTGGATTCCAATTTCTAAATCTTGAAAGGTCCAATGCAGTTTTTATCTCAATATTAAATCATTTCTGGGTAACAATTAAGTATTGATTTCAATCAAAATGGTCTAAAATTTTGCTAGGACTGTCTGAAGTGGGGAGGGGGAAACTGAAAACTAGCTGTTATTGGCAGAGAGGTTTGGAACTCTCTTATTGGTCTATTAGCTAATTTACCACCTGGTGATGTGACCACCCTCTCCAGCCAAGCTTTATGGCCAGAGTTGCTATTGCCTCAGAGCACGTTGGACGACCTGGACTGGTCTAGACATGAATTGACAAAGGTCAAACAGGGATATTGGTTATCGCCATAATAACCTTGAACTACGGCACCTCAACAACTTTCCTTAGTCAGACACCTTTTAGGTAAAGGAGGGGGATTGCCAACATTTAGAAAGTGCAAAGCTTAAGCCATTAGTCCTTTTCTCTCGATCCCCTAACAAAGAAAACATGTAGGAGTATGTTGCCAACAAAAACACTGCTGCGGTAGTTGAAGGACTTTACAAGAAGGAATGGTTATTAGGATGTCTACAGTCAGAAGAACCAGTTGTTTGTGGTTGGTTTGTGGTTGTTTTTTTAACACTGAAAGGTAGTTTGGTTGACCGTCATCGTTGGGTTGACAACCTCTCTGGCATGTCAGAATGATGATTGGTCTTCAAAAGGTCCATCTCTGTTCTGGCCATGGCCCTCATCAGCGTACCGTGGCACTTCAAGGACCATAGGCTATTGAGTGTACAATTAAATACAGGTTGTTGTCGTTTTTCTTTACTGTAAAAAATGTGGGTGGTTTTCCCCCACAAGTGCAACAGAAAACCTTCAAGGAGAGTCTGTGGAGAACATTTTAGTCATTTTAGCAGACGCTCTTATCCAGAGCGACTTACAGTTAGTGAGTTCATACATTTTTCATACTGGCCCCCCGTGGGAAACGAACCCACAACCCTGGCGTTGGGGGGGGGGGGGGGGTACTATCTCTTCTGCATCCCTCCCTAAATGTCTGGGACATCTGGGAAACCACCGTCTTCAGCTAATGTACTGTGTTCACAACGTGAAGTTAACCGCCACCACAGTTCACCCATAGGGCTGTGTGTGTAACTGGTCGGATGTGAACCCTGGTCTCCCGCACACGTGCCCAGTCTCTCCTTTTCTCTCTCTCTCTTTCTTCTCCTGTGTCTTATCTATCCATCCGTCAGTGAGTCTGTCCATCTGTGTGGACGGGCCATCTCTTCAGAGACTGGCCAGTATGCGCGAGAAGGAGATGAGAACAGAGAGGGTGGTCTGGCCCACTCCAAACACCAGGGCCTGGAGAGGGGCCATGTCCTTCCCTGCCACTCTGTACACCCCAGCCACAGCCGCACCTGGGAAAGAGACACCCCCACATACAGATGGTCATTCATAGGAATATTAACACACACACATCCTAGCATACAGCAGCCAGTCAAGCCTTGTCAACTGCACCACAGATTGTTCAATAGCGTTTAAGTGCTGATAAAGATGAATGACAGAAATGTCTCTCTCCTTATGTCTCAGCCTGTCCTCATGTCTCAGCCTGTCCTCATGTCTCAGCCTGTCCTCATGTCTCAGCCTGTCCTCATGTCTCAGCCTGTCCTCATGTTCTCACAGTTGTCTCTCTAGACTCTCCCACATGGACAGTTTTAGTAGCAGCGTTAAAAGATGGCCCTTTTAAAGCTGGCCGTATAAATGCATGGCTCCACAGAGACAGTGGGGGGTGTGAGTGAGTGTCCCTGTTCCCTACATACTGTGTTTACTCGCCACTCTGACTGCGTCCCAAATGGCACCCTGTTCCCTACATAGTTTCCTACTGTAGAGTACTACTTTTCACCAGAGCCCTATGTGGCCTGGTCAAAAAAAGTAGTGCTATAGTAGTGCAATAGGGTCCCATCTTGTGATGCTCTCTCTCTCTCTCTCTGCCTCTCTCTCTCTCTCTCTCTCTCTCTCTCTCTCTCTCTCTCTCTCTCTCTCTCTCTCTCTCTCTCTCTCTCTCTCTCTCTCTCTCTCTCTCTCTCTCTCTCTCTCTCTCTCTCTCTCTCTCTAAGTTAGTCACGCCTCTCTCACTATATGCCGTTATGACCATCGCCATGGAAACAGTCTGTACTGAAGAGGGTCTCAAAAGTCCAACTGTCTGAGTTCAACTTAAACATTTTTTTTTTGTTTTAGCTCAAGACCTTTAGATACAAATCTTATTTTGAGTCAACATCAAACAACGATGTCAAGACAAGGGACACTGGGAGAGATTAGCCTATAAGCTGGCTCAAAGTTGTTGATGTCTGACTGTTGCCGGTCGACCACTAAATAACCTCACCTTTCCTCCCTCTTGGCAGAGGGCTGCTGCTGCTACACGGTGCTAGCTTTTGGCTGTTTTAGTGTATAACACACGGGGCAATGCACAGTCAATAGTCTGCTCTCTCGGCGAGCATCAATATTAATAATAAATTGTCCGTCTATTTTTGGCTTGCCTCTGTGATTGAGTGTTTAATCCAGGCCTCTCATCAGGAGCTCCTGTCCTACCCTACGTGGCTCACAGGCTGCATCCCAAATAGCACCCTATTACCTACATATGTAGGATCTTAATTTGATCACCCTGTTGCAGGATAACTTTCCTGCAGTGCAGGGAATTTTAAACTTGTAGTGATTTGCGGTTTAAAAAGGTTTCTGAAGTTTGTCATTTCCACATTAAATTTCAGACTTGATTTTCCTTTATGAGAAATGTAGCAACCCCTACAAAAATGTCAATTAATTATAATTCACATAATAATTTCCTGTTGCTGAATGATTATTTTCCTGCTGTAGCAAACTGGCTCAAATTAAGATCTGACATCTGTATTTAGTGCACTGCTTTGACCAGAGCCCTATGGCCCTGGTCAAATGTAGTGCACTATGTAGGGAATAGGGTGCCATTTGGGACACAGACACAGACTAAGGTCTATTTACACATACAGATGCAGTACTATGTACCACTCTCTGGACTGGAAGATGATATTAGGGCTAAATATGTTGGGCATGAGTAGAGAGGACAATTGGATAGAGGGCCAGACAGATGGAGAGATATGCAGATCGATAGACAGACGGGAAGAGGGCAGCAGCCACACAGACCTATCGACAGACAGACATACACAGACAGACAGACAGACAGACAGACAGACAGAATGGGTGGTGACAGAGAGGCAAAATGCAGATCGACAGACAGACAGGAGGAGGGCAGCAGACAGACAGACAGACAGAGGGCAGCAGACAGACAGACAGACAGACAGACAGAGGGCAGCAGACAGACAGACAGACAGACAGAAGGCAGCAGCAGACAGCCAGCCAGACGGACAGGAAGAGGGTAGCAGACAGACAGACAGACAGACAGACAGGCAGGCAGGCAGACAGGCAGACAGACAGACAGAATGGGTGGTGACAGAGAGGCAAAATGCAGATCGACAGACAGACAGGAGGAGGGCAGCAGACAGACAGACAGAAAGAGGGCAGCAGACAGACAGACAGACAGACAGACGGCAGCAGCCAGACAGACAGATAGCAGCAGACAGACAGACAGACAGAGGGCAGCAGACAGACAGACAGACAGACAGGAAGAGGGCAGCAGACAGACAGACACAGGGCAGCAGACAGACAGACAGATAGACTGACAGACAGAGGGCAGCAGACAGACAGACAGACAGACAGGAAGAGGGCAGCAGACAGACAGACACAGGGCAGCAGACAGACAGACAGACAGACAGACAGACAGAGGGCAGCAGACAGACAGACAGACAGACGGCAGCAGACAGACAGAGGGCAGCAGCAGACAGCCAGACAGACAGGAAGAGGGTAGCAGACAGAACGACAGACAGACAGACAGACACAGACAGGAAGAGGGCAGCAGACAGACAGCCAGACAGACAGAGGGCAGCAGACAGAAAGAGGGCAGCAGACAGACAGCCAGACAGACAGAGGGGAGCAGACAGACAGCCAGACAGACAGAGAGCAGCAGACATACAGGAAGAGGGCAGCAGACAGACAGACAGAAAGAGGGCAGCAGACAGACAGACAGAGGGCAGCAGACAGACAGACAGACATAAAGACAGACAGACAGACAGACAGACAGGAGGAGGGCAGCAGACAGACAGACAGAGGGCAGCAGACAGACAGACATACATAAAGACAGACAGACAGAGGGCAGCAGACAGAGAGACAGACAGGAAGAGGGCAGCAGACAGAGAGACAGACAGACAGACAGACAGACAGACGGCAGCAGACAGACAGCAAGTCAGACAGACAGGAAGAGGGCAGCAGACAGACAGCCAGACAGACAGAGGGTAGCAGACAGCCAGACAGACAGACATACAGGAAGAGGGCAGCAGACAGACAGACAGACAGGAAGAGGGCAGCAGACAGCCAGACAGACAGACGGGAAGAGGGCAGCAGACAGCCAGACAGACAGGAAGAGGGCAGCAGACAGACAGACAGACAGCCAGGAAGAGGGCAGCAGAGAGACAGCCAGACAGACATACAGACAGACAGACAGGAAGAGGGGGGGTGGCATACATAAGCTGGGACAGACACACACACACACACACACACACACACACACACACACTCAACATCTGCCAATGACTCACTGGTGATGACCCCTCCGGCCAGGGAGGCCAGGAAACCCAGACTGACCAGGACCAAGGTGATGAGGCGACCCCTCTTGTGGCGCTGCAACATGACTAACATGAGGAGGCCCATCGCCCCGTGGACCAAGAGAGAGGAGAACAGACACCACAGGAACACCCAGTACCACATCTCTGAGAGAGAGCGGGAGGGAGGGAGGGAAGATAGAGTTTAGTGGTTGGACAGCTCTGTACCTTATACCAACAGGGAAACAACACGCACACAGACGAGTGGTTAGTTAGACAGCTCTGTATACATACCAACAACCTCAGCAAGGTGTTGAAAACATAGTATCTGAATGGAAATATACAGAGTGGTTAGAAAATATAAGCCTATATATTTGAAGTATTAACCCCTTTAAGGTGTTAGAGTACATGGCCTTCACGTACTCTAAATATAAAACCGAGAATGTGGTTTAAGACACATCTCTGAACAAACAACCACAGGAAGCAGTTTTGGGTCAAACCTCAGAGCAGGTGTATGATTATTATATCTGAGAGAGACAGAGAGCAGCAGCTGCACACACCAGATCTAGGGCCACCTTGTGCCTGGGCTCACGAGAAGGCAGCCAAGCACGGTAATACAATGTAAAAATACAAAAAATTAAATAATAATTTATTCAATTTACAATTGTAAGGCAACCAGTTGCAATATGATTGTGAGTTTGTTGACCAGGACCAAAACAAAATGTTTGTTGACCAGGACCAAAACAAAATGTTTGTTGACCAGGACCAAAACAAAATGTTTGTTGACCAGGACCAAAACAAAATGTTTCTTGAGCAAACTCACAACAAAAAGTTTGTGTGTGAAAATGTTGTAGAGCTGTTTGCCTTATAATTGTACATTGAATCAACATCTTTTTTTTATTTTTATAGTGTAGACACCATTCAATAAAACAGGCTGCATTTCATAACATTTCTAACATTTCATATCCAGTACCCATTTTTAAGGTTTATGAAGGGTATTAAATCCATTCAGTGAAGGATTTAAAAGCACTTAAATTAAGCATTTAAATTCACTGTTCTATCAAATTCGGACACATTTTGCGATACCTACGAAATATTACAAAAATGTCTGCACTCACTACTGTAAGTCGCTCTGGGTAAATGACTAAAACGTAAATACCAAACATTCTCCTGCTGTGTCCCACTCCTAGAACTACTGTACTGCTCTACGTTACCCCCAACGGAAACACAAACCTGGAACGCATACATGGTACATACTGGACAATTCCTTAACAAGTATCCCTTTTCACAAAGAGCTCCTCCAAACATATTGGACATTCCAACACTATGATGAATTGATTTATCTCTATGTTCTAACATAGGAATTCCAACACATATCTGGCATTCCTAGTACATGACCAAGGTAGCACCTGCCATAGTAATCGCTCTGAAAGAAAACAGAGATACTCTATGGATAAATCTTATGATGTCAGAGAAAACAGAGATACTCTATGGATAAACAGGGACGCACCCAATCTAATGATGTCCCAGAGAGAGGCTTGAGAGCCCGGCAGAGAGTCCTATTCACATTCTCTCCCTCCCCTCATCCCTTGTTGTATTCCTCTTTTCCTGGCTCCTGCAGACAAGCTTTGCATAAAGAGCTGTGGCCTTCTGGCCACATCACATTCACTCAGCCAGCGAGAGGCCAGATTGGCTCCACTGACACAGAGGCAAAGTGGATTGGACATACATTTGGACTGGATGTTTGGGGTGTTGGGGAGAGAATGTAATTTGTCTCATCACAATTTCTTCAGTCACTCCCCCCAAAATATTTTGAGGTAGGGTGGAGTTTTACCCCATGTTTTCCTACAATTGACCCATGTTACATTTAGCCCCACTCTCCCCTATGCACTAATGGCAAATTGCTGTTTTCCCCTGCAAGAAGTGTTGTGCATTGACTGCTTGTCAGAATGCATGTTTCACACAACAAGCCGACTAGGTAAATACAGTGAGGGAAAAAAGTATTTGATCCCCTGCTGACTTTGTACGTTTGCCCACTGACAAAGAAATGATCAGTCTATAATTTTAATGGTAGGTTTATTTGAACAGTGAGAGACAGAATAACAAAAAAAAAATCCAGAAAAAAAAACGCATGTCAAAAATTTTATAAATAGATTTGCATTTTAATGAGGGAAATAAGTATTTGACCCCTCTGCAAAACATGACTTAGTACTTGGTGGCAAAACCCTTGTTGGCAATCACAGAGGTTAGACGTTTCTTGTAGTTGGCCACCAGGTTTGCACACATCTCAGGAGGGATTTTGTCCCACTCCTCTTTGCAGATCTTCTCCAAGTCATTAAGGTTTCGAGGCTGACGTTTGGCAATTCGAACCTTCAGCTCCCTCCACAGATTTTCTATGGGATTAAGGTCTGGAGACTGGCTAGGCCACTCCAGGACCTTAATGTGCTTCTTCTTGAGACACTCCTTTGTTGCCTTGGCCGTGTGTTTTGGGTCATTGTCATGCCGGAGAAGATGGCTGCCGTTTTACAGCCCTCTAACCAATTGTACTATTATGTGTGTTTTTCCATGTTATTTGTCATTTATTTTGTACATAATGTTTCTGCCATCGTCTCTTATAACCAAAAAGAGCTTCTGGATATCAGGACAGCGATTACTCACCTCGTATTGGACGAATAATTTTTCTTAAACGAGGTGTCCACGAAGGATATCCTACAGACACCCGACAAGGCCCAAATCCCCGTCATTCGCATGAGGAAGAGACGGAGATATCGTGGACGTAGGTCGGGGTGCCTTGTAAGGATCCGACGGCGAGCGAGTAAACTGCCGCTCCCATCAATCCTATTAGCCAATCTTCAATCATTGGAAAATAAATTGGATGACCTAAGATTACGGTTATCCTACCAACGGGACATTAAAAACTGTAATATCTTATGTTTCACCGAGTCGTGGCTGAACGACGACATGGATAACATACAGCTAGTGGGCTATACGCTACATCGGTAAGATAGAACGGCTGACTCCGGTAAGACAAGGGGTGGCGGTCTGTGTATATTTGTAAACAACAGCTGGTGCACAAAATCAAATACTAAGGAAGTCTCAAGGTTTTGCTCACCTGAGGTAGAGTATCTTATGATAAGCTGTAGACCACACTCTTTACCAAGAGAGTTTTCATCTATATTTTTCATAGCTGTCTATTTACCACCACAAACCAATGCTGGCATTAAGATTGCACTGAATGAGCTGTATAAGGCCATAAGTCAACAGGAGAACGCTCATCCAGAGGCAGCGCTCCTAATGGCCGGGGACTTTAATGCAGGGAAACTTAAATCCGTTCTACCTAATTTCTACCAGCATGTTAAATGTGCAACCAGAGGAAAAAAAACTCTAGACCACCTTTACTCCACACACAGAGACGCGTACAAAGCTCTCCCTCGCCCTCCATTTGGAAAATCTGACCATAACTCTATCCTCCTGTTTCCTACTTATAAGCAAAAACTAAAGCAGGAAGTACCAGTGACTCGGTTAATAAAAAAGTGGTCAGATGACGCAGATGCTAAGCTACAGGACTGTTTTGCTAGCACAGACTGGAACATGTTCAGGGATTCTTCAGATAGCATTGAGGAGTACACCACATCAGTCACTGGCTTCATCAATAAGTGCATCGATGATGTCGTCCCCACAGTGACCGTACGTACATACCCCAACCAGAAGCCATGGATTACAGGAAACATCCGCACTGAGCTAAAGGGTAGAGCTGCCGCTTTCAAGGAGCGGGACTCTAACCCGGACGCTTATAAGAAATCCCGCTATGCCCTCCGACAAACCATCAAACAGGCAAAGAGTCAATACAGGACTAAGATTGAATCGTACTACACCGGCTCTGACGCTCGTCGGATGTGGCAGGGCTTGAAAACTATTACAGACTACAAAGGGAAGCACAGCCGTGAGCTTACCAGTGACACAAGCCTATCAGTTGAGCTAAACCACTTCTATGCTCGCTTCGAGGCAAGCAACACTGAAGCATGCATGAGAGCACCAGCTGTTCCGGATGACTATGTGATCACGCTCTCCGTAGCCGATGTGAGTAAGACTTTTAAACAGGTCAACATTCACAAGGCCGCATGGCCAGACAGATTACCAGGACGTGTACTCCGAGCATGTGCTGACCAACTGACAAGTGTCTTCACTGACATTTTCAACATGTCCCTGACTGAGTCTGTAATATCAACATGTTTCAAGCAGACCACCATAGTCCCCGTGCCCAAAGACACTAAGATAACCTGCCTAAATGACTACCGACCCATAGCACTGACGTCTGTAGCCATGAAGTGCTTTGAAAGGCTGGTCATGGCACACATCAACATCATTATCCCAGAAACCATAGACCCACTCCAATTTGCATACCACCCCAACAGATCCACAGATGATGCAATCTCTATTGCACTCCACACTGCCCTTTCCCACCTGGACAAGAGAAACACCTACGTGAGAATGCTATTCATTGACTACAGCTCAGCATTCAACACCATAGTGCCCTCGAAGCTCATCACTAAGCAAAGGATCCTGGGACTAAACACCTCCCTCTGCAACTGGATCCTGGACTTCCTGACGGGCCGCCCCCAGGTGGTAAGGGTAGGTAACAACACATCTGCCACACTGATCCTCAACACAGGGGGCCCCTCAGGGGTGCGTGCTCAGTCCCCTACTGTACTCCCTGTTCACCCATGACTGCATGGCCAGGCACGACTCCAACACCATCATTAAGTTTGCCGACGACACAACAGTGGTAGGCCTGATCACCGACAACGATGAGACAACCTATAGGGAGGAGGTCAGAGACCTGGCCGTGTGGTGCCAGGACAACAACCTCTCCCTCAACGTGACCAAGACAAAGGAGATGATTGTGGACTACAGGAAAAAAAAGAGGACTGAGCACGCCCCCATTCTCATCGACGGGGCTGTAGTGGAACAGGTTGAGAGCTTCAAGTTCCTTGGTGTCCACATCACCAACGAACTATCATGGTCCAAACACACCAAGACAGTCGTGAAGAGGGCACGACAAAGCCTATTCCCCCTCAGGAGACTGAAAAGATTCGGCATGGGTCCTCAGATCCTCAAAAAATTATACAGCTGCACCATCGAGAGCATCCTGACTGGTTGCATCACCG